GATATGGCTCAGTGGTAACAGCTAATAAGATGACAAGCAATCACAGTGAAGTATCAAATGATCTAGGAAGAGAAATTGGCAGGGATCAATGCAAGTGACACTTGGGAAGACTTTTAACACAAAATGAAAGCTGAGGCAGGTGGCACACATATAAACAGCATGAATCAGAGAACAGCATATACAGTAGCTGTAACCACAAAGTCAGAATTTACAGAGCAGGATACCAAAGCACTTCCAATGCCCGACAAGAACATTGTTTTTGGGTTGCATGGCTTGCATGTGGCTGGGAATAGACATTTGTGGGAGAGTTCCTGCTATCAAGCAAAGGTGACGCTGAGGATACCGCTGTCATCACTCTCTACCTACTAAATATGGCACATAGTGGGACCAGTTGAATCTGAAGCTTGAGTCACCTCACTGTCTTTGTTCCAAGAAAGGACTTACACACCTTTTTTTTAGCATGCTTGTGTGCCTCCAGGCTCCACACTCTTTACCAAGATGGTGCCCAGATGAGCAGACTTAAAAGCCTCTTCCCCACTTCCACATGCCAACCATCCTGATTCTGACACTTCCATGGAGGAGGAAATACTGCCAGAGGGTGGACAGGATGCAGATGACCCTGCATTTTATGGCACGCTCAGGCTCTACTTTGCTCTGCTCCCTACCATGGAGTTGTAATGCCATGGCAATGGCTCACTGCCTCTTCCTGAACACAGGATTGTGGGTTAATGAGAGAGGGGAGTCAATGGAGCCTAATAGTGGAAACAGGTATGGAAGAGGCAGCAAGACTGTATGGGGCTGGAGGGGGAGGCAGGAATACAGGATGTTAGGAAGGGCAACCACACTAGATCGTGTAGGACAGAAGGCAGTGAAACTAGACTGTGGAAAGGGAAGGGAGCAGTGCTGGATTGAGAAGGAAGAGAAAAGAGGTAATAAAAGGAAAGGGAGAGAGCAGGCAGCAAGACCAAATGAGAGTAGACAGTGAGGAGGAAGCAAGACTATATAGTATATGTGGGGTGGAAGTCCACAAGATTTTTTTGTGGCATAGAGTAGAGAGACCAGGTTGTGAAAGAGGGAAAGAAAATAAGCAAGAAGGGAGGACGCAGCGAGACTGTAATGTGGAAGTATACCCTCATACTCTCTGCTTACTACTGCAGAACATTTTGCTCACAATCATACCCTCCGCACTCTTTTCCAACACTTACTGCCTCCTGTCATACCCTCTGCACTCCTCTCCTGCACACTCTGCCTATTATCATGTCTTCTGCACTCCTCTCCTGCACACTCTGCCTATTATCATGTCTTCTGCACTCCTCCCATTCACATACTGACTGCTGTCCTTGCATTTGGTCTCAGGGTATCGCAAAACTGCATATAAGTCTATTCTGCAAGGATTCTCTCTGCCAAGAACTACCAAGGTCACAGTTATAAAGATACAGCAGGTACCAAAATGTCCAGGAGCTGTCAATGCTCAGCATATATTATTTGTACTAGCACGGGGACAACGAATGCCCCTCAGCTCAATCCTTCACTGGTGGAAAGGTAGCTTTATGATACAGAGACATAAACATTAGGGACTCAAAAAACATGAATATTGACAGTCACATGACTGTATTATTTCCAATTCTATTATCCAGAGCCGAAGCTGAGTATGGTAGATTGAAGCCTTGGTGCTCTCCTGAGCACAGTTTAACAAGAATTTCTGTGAAACTGTCAGAGCCCTGGTGACTTTAGGGCTAGAGGGTTCAAGTTGCAGGTTGTGGAGCCTCTGAGACTCCCAGAAATGTTGGAGGTTATTCGAAATTACAACGAAGATTACTGATGTAGAGTCTCTTTAGGGACTATGTCATTAGGCTTTTGTTCATTTTCAGCGGGTTTTGCAATGCCATACAAGCCTATGGGAATGCAAAACCCAAACCAGGACAGGAGGAGGTCAACTGCAGGCCAAGTGCACCTGTCAATGAATTCCGAATGATCTCAAGCCAAAGTCTTCAACACACACCCAAGCAAGGTCCACTTATTTAAAGTGGGCCCCTCCCCCTTGCTTAAAGTGTATCTAAACCAAAGAACTCAAATATGATATATGTAGTATATTGCAGCATACCAGTCCCTAGATGTGGTGGCTGCATTAGTTTTATTTTTTTAGGTTTTTTTCAATTTTTTGCATTAAATTGAAAAAATAAAATGTTAGGGGAATAGAATTTGCTATGCCTTCCTTTCCCTCTTACTTCCGTAATGCAGTGGGTGACATTATCCTCCTGCAAACGATCTCAAGGAATGCAGAGTAGCCAAAATCCTATGAGAAGATGATGCAACACAATGCAGGATCATCTTCTAGACCGATTTGTGCTATTCAGCTTTCCCTGGGATCTCACTGGAAGGTTCATAAAGGTAACTTTATTATCCAGCAACAGGGTAGGAACCTTGTTATTTAAGTGCAAGGTTCCCTTTAAGTAATGTCCCGCTCTACCATAAGCCAAATCATAACCTTTAAAAATCCATATAAAACACATGTAAAATATCAGTACATGCAACCCTAGGTACATATTTGTAAAGGAACACAGCACACTTAAAGTGACATTAAACTCAGGAGATAAATCTTAAAATGCATTCAAGTACCTTAACTATTAACAAAAATGTATCTTATTTGTGTATCACTCGTCTGTAGATCCTCAAATCATCTCTGAATTGGTGCGAACACTGTCCTTACTTCTGGAGGGTGGCTATTTTTGTTCCCCATGGTGCTTGTGGTTGTTGTAAAGTAATCACCGCTCAAAGCTTGCTCCTCTGAAATACTATAACTACAATACAAATGATTAAACTTAATGTGAGATTGTAGTCCATCACGGGAGCAAGCTTGGATCGGTGGCTACTTTACAACACACATAAAGAACATGGGGAACAAAAGTAGCCACCCTCCAGAAGGAAGGACAGTGTTAGCATGAATTCAGAGATGATTTGAGGATCTATAGCCAAGTGATGTACAAATAATGTAAATTTTTGTTAAAAGGGTACTTGAATGTATTTTTAAGATTTATCTCCTAAGTTTAGTGTCACTTTAACATGGGGTCAGTTAAAGTGACACTAAACTCAGGAGTTAAATCTTAAAAATGCAGACATCTAAACTCTCCCGGATGTTTCGGGAGTCTCCTGCTATTAGACACCCGCAAGTGACACATTGTATCCCAGAAAGGTTTACTCTGCTCTATATACCTTAAGTCTAGCAGAGTAAACCTTTCCGGTAGGGATGTCCCAATACAGATACTAGTTTCTGTATCGGGGCCGATACAGGGCATTTTCACGAGTACTTGTACTCGTAAAAATGCTCCGGAACTAAAGGCCGATAACGGAACTATAAATTGTTAAAGAAGTTTGGCTGCCTGAGTTTCTGCGCTTGCTTGGGACCTCAGGCAGCCTGCTGGGGAGCTTAGCCAGCTGGGGACCTCAGGCAGCTTTCTTTGACAGTGCCTATCCGACCCCACCTCTGTTCCTCCTCTTTTCCAGTGCCCACAGAGACAGGCACAGAAAAGGACAGCCCCAAACCGTCTGTACATCCCCAGAGCCCAGCAAAAGACCGGCACCCATCCGCACCGCCTGGGGAGCCCAGTACCCACTAACAGAGCAGGGCACCCACCCGTACGGCCTGGAGAGCGCGGCACCCACTTGCAGCCCTGGTGAGATCTGCATGCAGCCCTGGTGAGACCCAAATGTAGCCCTGGTGAGACCAAAATGCAGCCCTGGTGAGATCTGCAATAAGCTCTGTTGAGACCCAAACGTAGCCCGGTTGAGACCCAAACGCAGCCCTGGTGAGAGCTGCAATAAGCCCTGGGGAGACCCAAATGCAACCCTGGTGAGATCTTCAATAAGCCCTGGGGAGACCCAAACGCAGCCCTGGGGAGACCCAAAAACGCAGCCCTGGTGAGACCCAAACGCAGCCCTGGTGAGATCTGCAATAAGCCCTGGGGAGACCCAAACGCAGCCCTGGTGAGACCCAAACGCAGCCCTGGTGATACCCAAATGCAGCCCTGGTGAGATTTGCACGCAGCCCTGGTGGTATCCAAACGGAGCTCTGGTGAGACCCAAATGCAGCCCAAACTGCACAGTACAAAGAAAGTTTGTAAAAAATTAGAAAATATATTTTCTTTAGCTTTAGCATGTATTCACACGAGAATTGGCCGGCACGTACAGCTCCGTGCTGTGAGCCCGGCCGTATTGGGCAGCTCCCGGGAAGGACAGGTGCTGCGTGTGATTAGTACCCAGCCCCTGTCCTTCTCTATGGGACTACGCGGCCGTACGCCGCCCTACGCTCACCCGCCCTGCACGTCTGGCCGTATAGTCCCATAAAGACAGGGGCTGCGTACTAATCACACGCAGCACCTGTCCTTCCTGGGAGCTGCCGATACGGCCGTGCACGCAGCACGGATCTGTATGTGCTGGCCGATTCTCGTGTGAATGAGGCCTAACTGTTAACAAAAATGTATCTTATTTGTGTATCACTCAGCTGTAGATCCTCAAATCATCTCTGAATTGGTGCTGACACTGTCCTTCCTTCTGGAGGGTGGCTACTTTTGTTCCCCATGGTCCCTGTGTGTGTTGTAAAGTAGCCACCACTCCAAGCTCACTCCCGTGATGGAGTACAATCAATTACATGTTTAGTTTACTAATTTGTATTTAGAATGTAGCCCATCAAGAGCGCGGGCTTGAAACCGCGTTTACTTTACAAAAAACAGGAACCATGGGGAACAAAAGTAGCCACCCATTAGAAGGAAGGACAGTGTCAGCATGAATTCAGATATGATTTGAGGATCTAGCGCAAATGAGATACATTTTTTTTTACCAGTTAAGGTATTTGAATGCATTTTGAGATTTAACCCCTGCGTTTAATGGCACTATAAAGATATCCAGACTGCTATTGCTGTGTCTTAGCACTTGTTCGTGGAATAATAAAGTTTAGAAAGCTAGCATTAAAAAAAAGTCTATTGCAGCACAAGCTGTTTCCGGATTTGGTGACGTACCAGACGTGGTGACGTCATGGCGCAGCGGCAGGGTATGGTGGCCTCAGCTTCCTGGTGATTGCAGCAGCCGGGAAGAGTTGGGGGGGGGGAGACGGCTGCGGCGCTTCCCGCTGCGCGCCCAGCTGAGGAGAGAGAATGGCGGACTTTGATGAGATTTATGAAGAGGAGGAAGAAGATGAGGAGCGGGCCCTGGAGGAGCAGCTTCTTAAGTATTCTCCTGACCCGGTGGTGGTACGAGGATGTGGGCACGTCACAGTGTAAGGCAGCACGGGGAACCGGGGAAAGAGGGGGTGGGTGATAAGAGCCTATGGAGGGGACAATGGCCTGGTGTGTTTCTATACATTTGGTGCTCATCTTGTAACGGAAGCGATCGGGGGCTCCGAGTTGTGTGATTGTCCCAGTGACTCCTGGAGTCTCAGCTGGCTGGAACCTTACAGTGAATCTTCCATGACAAGGACAAACTATTTAGAAGCGAATTTATCAAATCTGGAGCAGTTGCCCAGGGCAACCAATTAGCATCTCTCTTTTTCAAATCTTAATTGAACAAACTGAAGAGAGCAGCTGATTGGTTGCCATGCAGAGCTGCTCCAGATTTGATAAATTCCCCTTTAGTGTGTAAGCATAATGCAGGTATTTGTCCCAGTCCTCCGCCTGACAATACATTCTCCCCCAAAGGATGGATCCACGGGCAACCACCATTTGTGGTCGACATCTACTTCTTGGACTGTGATCATAGTATCTGTGCAATTCTTGGTTTACAAATTTTGACACAGATCAGCCTCCTTGCTGCAGCCTTTTATGTTGTGATGCGCGACAAAATGTCAGTGTTGTCTGAGAGGAGACTGAGAAAATGTTTCTTCTATACTGCAGCAGACTGATGACGTAACTTGACTACTCACCCGAACCGGCTGCCTGTTTCTCCAGTTTCTCTTCCTATGCTGCAGTATTGGAAAGTTCCTCGGCGTCCCACTTATATACACTTATATACACAGTGTAGAGACCGTGATGATTACTTGTGTCCCATCACTTGCGCCCTTTTTTTCAATGTGCTTTGGCTGATGTGAAGACACTGCCTGCACTGTTGTGGAAGTCACAGCGCTACCATAAGAGCAGCTGTCATTCACTTCCCCGGGAGGAGGAGCTGAAGGGGTGGGTTCTGTGTGTTTGCATCTTGGGATGCTTGTGCGTATTGGCGCAGCTTGCATTCCTGAGTGGGTTTGGTGCAAGCCGAGTTCGCCCGACCAAAACTGTCAGTTAAACCAGGGCTCGACAAATCCCAGGCGCCAAGTTGCCATGGCAACTGAAAATTGCGCCTGAGCTTTTGTCAACCCATTCAATGTCCCCCGCCATTGACTCCGCTTCAATAAGCTCTGCTCCCCGTCGTCCTCCCCACTGGGTGCAGGCTGCAGCAGTCTGTATTCCCTTCAATCACAGCTGTCTGCTGATTTGCACCCCTGCCTTCCAACTGCCCCTTTTTCCCCGGTCTGTGCCCCCTGTTCCCATTCAGCAGGTCCCAGCCACTGGATGGGACACTTGTTTGCAGCAGTGGAAAGCCGTGGATGTGTCCCTTCCCACGCTGGAAGCAATACCCAGCCTGACATTGGTTATTTTAAATTGCCCTAGCCAATAGCAGGCTGGCTATTGCACCTGTCCACTGCCTGCTGTCAATCAGCAGAGGAGGACCTGAAGGAGAACTATCTTCTTCAGGTCCCTCCTCTGCTGACTGACAGCAGAGAGCGGCTGTCTTTGTATTCTGACAGCTGCCGCTGTCCAAATACCATGTTTCCCCGAAAATAAGACACTGTCTTATATTTTTTCAACGAAATAAGACAGTAGGTCTTATTTTCGGGGGATGTCTTATTTTTACTTGGCTGCAGCTGTCCGCTCTCCGCTCTGATGCCGTCCACTTCGACCCCACTGGCTATGCCGCCATAGGGGTAGAGTAGTTGCTATGCAGGGTGCTGTCACAAGTAGAACTGATACATGGTTCTAGACTGGAAGAACCTAATGGATATTTTGGTAGCATCTTATCTGCCAACCAGTAAATCCCAGTAGGGTTGGTACTATGTAAATATGACAGACTTTATGAACATTGGGAACGTACATGACCTATAATGGGGAGGATGCTTGAATCTTGCATATTTTTGTCAGTTCTTTAGTAATTGTTTTAGTACCTAAAGTGACACTAAACTCAGAGTTAAATCTTAATAGTTAAGATACACGAATGCATTTTTAACAAAAATGTCTCTTATTTGTGTATCACTCGGCTGTAGATCCTCAAATCATCTCTGAATTGGTGCTGACACAGTCTTTCCTTCTGGAGGGTGGCTCCTTTTGTTTTCCATGGTCCCTGTGTGTGTTGTAAAGTAGTCACTGCTTCAAGCTCACTCCTGTGATTGACTACAATCTCACGTTCAGTTTACTAATTTGTTTGTGCGCTTTGATAAACCATTATACGTTTACTTCACAGTCAAGTGCTGACCCATTACAACCACATCCGTCCCAACCCATTATTTAAGAAGCAGTGGTTTAAACACTTTAAAAATGAATGGTGGAGGATCTGTAATGCGGATTCATCAAATTATGATTATAGTGTTGTGTTACAAGAGCCTACAAGAAGCTAAAGAGGAATTTGATTTAATGGGTAGCTGGTTTATGAGCTCCCAGGTGGAATGTGTGACACTGGAAGTTGCTATCTCTGAAGTACCTAAATGAAGTGAGTCACTGCAAATAGATTATCATTATTGTAGTTCTCATTCAGGAAGTAAATGCTTACTTCGAAATATTGTTGTTCATATTCAAAAACAGCCATTAAAGATTTACACATGGAAAAGTATGTAGACCAGGAAAAAAAAAAATCAAGAGGACCATGTGTGTCCATTCCTTCTCCCCAACATGTTCTCATTGGGTTGGACTAGATTTAGAGCTAAATTAAGGGCCTGTCCACAGTATATCAATGTGGTATGTCATTTGTTATCAAATGTGTTGATGCAATGGAGCACCATTCGTATAAATGGCACCTCAACACATCTTGCCGACAAACATCAGTTGTAGCACGCACGATGCCAAAAAATGGTGCATGCATTGGGGTGCCATTCAGAATCGACTGCAGCGCATTTAACGTGCATTGTGGAAAAGTATGTGGCATGTTACAGGACCATCTCAGTGTGAATTGGCCCTAAATGTCTGCTTCCATGAACCAGCTTTCCTTGCTTTACCTTGTGTCAGATTGGTCATAGTGCAGTGTGGTTAGCTGATTGCCTTCCACTGGTATTAAAGTGACACTATACTCAGGCGTTCAATCTTAAAAAGGCATTCAAGCACCTTAACTATTAGCAAAAATTTATCTTATTTGTGTATCGCTCAGCTGTAGATCCTCAAATCATCTCTGAATTGGTGCTGACACTGTCCTTCCTTCTAGAGGGGGGCTACTTTTGTTCCCCATGGTCCCTGTGTGCGCTGTAAAGTAGTCCCTCCCGTGATGGACTATAATCTCAATACAAATTAGTAAACTAAACGTGAGATTTTAGTAAACTAAACGTGAGATTGTAGCCTATCACAGAAGCGAGCTTGGAGCGGTGGCTACTTTACAACACACACAGGAAGAACAGTGTCAGCACCAATTCAGAGATGATTTGATTATTTACAGCCGAGTGATGTGCAAATAATAATAATCCTTTTTGTTGTTGTTAACAGTTAAGGTACTTGAATGTATTTACCTCCTGAGTTTAGTGTCACTTTAAAGCTGAACTCCAACCAAACAGTGAAGTACACTGATGAAATGCATATCTAAAAGCTGTTTTGTGTTTCTAGCCAGTCCTGAGGTTTACACAGTTGTACCTCCAGACCTGTCAAGCCGGGAAGAGAGCCTAATCCTCCTCTGCTGATGTTTCCTGTTATATCTGCCTGGAGTTCAGCTTCAAAGGGCGCACATAACAAATAATTCCAGAATTCTGATTAGAAGATTAGTTGATTTTCATGCTGGTGTTAGTCGAAAAATCCTAAACTGAGAAAAAATGGTTAATAGATTAAACTGCGTGATCTTCATTAGAAACTAGAGAAGAATTTTATGCAGGAATTCTCTGTAAGGGTTTAATTATTGAGTGCAGCAGAAATTCTAGAAAGCTGTTTAAAAACCCTTTACCCAAAAGTGTTAATGTGATATTAATGGGAGGGTGATGAAGGCAGGTTCTATGTAAAGTTATATTTTGCAGCCCCAGTATGACGTTCCAATGCCACCATGCCCTTCAGTCTCCTTCTCCTGCTACTTAAGCTGCTGCTGCCTCATTGGCACCATTGTTTTTAACAGCGAAATGGCTATTACAGTCAGCAGCCTTGTGAGAAGCAAAGAGTTTTACTTTCCAGAAGTTTGCTGTGGTCCTACAGAGGTGAATATAAGGGCTCGTCCACATGCAGTTGTACACCACCACACATGTATGATGTGAACAGGGCACATAGGAAGCAACTATTTTCTATGTGCCATACATTTGCAGTGGTGTGAAGAAACACAGCTCAATGGACATGGCATGAACAAGTTCTAAATTTACAGTCTTTCTCTCCACGAACAATATTGGTATCTAAGCCCAAAAATGTAATATACTGCGGTTTACCAAACGATAAATGTGGTGGCTGCCTTTGTTTTCCTTTTTTCACCTGGTGATCCAGCCAGTAACGAACTTCCTGTTTGAAGCTGGCCATACACCTATAGATTATCTGCAGATTTTCTGTGGTCATATGGAAAAGTGCAACAGATTCCCTCATCTATGCTAAACTGTGTGGATGGAGGAATCTCCCACTGGGCCAAGCTTCAGTATCTTGCTGGATGGACTTGACTAACAAATTTAAATTTGAACTCCAGCTAGCACTTTTTAGGCAATTACAGCAACAGATTTTTTTTAATTTTTGTTTTATTACAAAACAGCTTGACCTCTTAACAGAAGTTGAAAAATAACACTTACTGGCCTAATCACCAGGTAAAAGAAAACATATGCAGTTCTATGGATTGGGAATCTGCAATATATCACTTTGGGGTCTAGATATAATTAAGGCCTTGTTCACACCAAATGCAGAGCAGATCCGCTCAGGTTTCTGCACACGCAGTGCAGTGGGTTGTGCCGCGTTTTTGAAGCGTTTGCATGCGTTCCAGAGCAGGTAAAATAGGGCCTGTTGCATTTTTTTTTTTACATGCTCTGGAACTGCACGATGCGATGTGAACTGGAGATAAAAATTTCATTGGAATACTTTGGTCGCAGTTTTG